TTACACAGTGAATGAAAATACATATGGGTATCTCCCTGGCCAGCAGGGATCGAACCAGCACTGCTGAGGCTGCCAACAGCTTCACGGCACTGCACTCAACCGCCTGCGCCACCAGGAAGGCCCTAGAGTACACATTCTTAAACGAACTGGAAGACCTAATGTGAAAAGTTATAGGAGGAATATAGGGGATCAATGGGAAAAAATGATAACAACAACAACAAAAAAATAACAACAAAACAAAACAAAATAAACAGACAACTATATATAATCAGAGACATTCTGTGGGGAGGGGGAGGTTGAGGGATCAAAACTAGTGAGGGAGGAGCACAAGGGGCTGAGGTGATGATGCACGGGTGAATTGGTGGCAGAAATTCTATGGGAACAGCACCTGAGAAAAGAAAGTAAAAAGACTAAAAAATTAATTAATTAATTAAAAGAAAAATCCTTTGAACAGCAGCCTGTGGATAGCAAGAGATGAGTAAACATAAATGATGCTAAGCATCTGTGTTACTGGTGCTGTTTTCCTCACTAATTTAAGTATCCACAGAGTCAGCCTCTGTGTTTATACAGAAAAAAAAAAATGTGCTGATAATAGATAATGGCATTTGATTACCTCAGAATGAAGGACATAGATAGGAAGATTATATACCAGTTTTTGAGCTGCTAAAATCCAGTTTTCATTTCTGCCAAGAGAATGGAATGAGAAAGAAATAAGATGTCTTCTCCAAGCTTAAAAACCAAACTTGAAGGCTGACCACAAAACTAAAGCTTCCATAAAGGGGGAGTCACTGGAGGAGGGGTGAGTGTGCAGAGGGGAGGGAGCATGGGGGCCTGTGGTGGTGGACTATGAATGATTTGGTGATGGGGGCTCTACAGTGATACTACCTGGTGGTAGTATTCAAATATGATCTCAATTAAAAATAAATTTTAAAATAGAAGAAGCAAGGATCTTCAGACATACTTTCAGAAGAACAAATTTTGTTTTTTCTCCTAAATTTCTTGCAATGGAGACTCTCCATTGCTTTTTGCAGTCTAGTTTCCATGACTTTGAAATGTGTGGAAAGTCCCTTGGAAATCTGGCAAAAGGAAATTATTAGTCCTTGTTTTTGTTCCTGCTATGGCTTTTTGTGTTTTCCTGTTTTTATAGAAATTTAACTTGAAAGGTAGGAGTGAATGCATTAGAGGAAGCCAGTGAGATGTTAATTTTAATCAACACCAAGGAATCTTGCCTTTAAACGATATTAAACAAAATTTGCATCTTTAAAAACACTTCCGTGATTTCTTTACAGTTCCTCACTTAAAACTTTAAGAGATATATTTATTTGAAGGGAGAAGTTATATAAGTTCATTGTCATTTCATTCATGAATTCAGAGAAGCCTAATATTTGTATAGTTATATGTAAAGAACCATACTGCTAACCAATGAAATAATGGCCAGCTGTTGGTTTGTTCCCCTTGATCAATGTAGCAGAATTATAATTGGGTTTCTTCCAGCTCTTTGGATGAAGCAGACTTGTCCAGTGCCTAGAGAAAGATTTATTTGCTGGCCTAGAGCAGGGTCTCTTTCAACAAGAGCTATGGGAAGGCAGTCTTACCACCTTACTCCCATAAAGATTCTGTTATTGCTCCCTCTCGCATCACTACCTAAGAAGCAGAGTTACTGACTACCAATAAGTAATAATAATTACAACTACTAACAATTATAGTACATATTCTGTGCTGGTACTGTTTAAACACTTTGAATATATTAACCATTTAATTCTTACAGCAATCATATGACATAAGTTTTATTATTATGGCCATTTTACAGAAGAGAAAATTGAGGCAGGAGGGTAGCAGGGGTTGGGGGGGTGCTAATGGACTTTGGTGGAGGATTATAGGTGTTTTAGTGGTGCACATTGTAACATATATCTGTGGGGTTTTGATATACATTCAAATCATATACAGTATTCTAAGTCATTGTTACCTCAATAAAAGTAATACATATAAAAAATAAAATTAAAGTTTTCTTTTATTTTATATATATTTTTACATAATTTTTAATTTTTGCACAATGTATGCATTTTCATCTTGGTTACAGTCCCCATACAATTCCCACCACCCTTGTTTTGATACTAGTTTTGATGTCTGATTGTGACATAACTTTAAAAAAGACTAGTAGGAAAGAAAGCTAATGGCAGAATCAACAGAAACTGATGGATAGAGAGTGAGTTACAGCATTTTTTTTTTTCCATTGAGATAACATTGGCTTACATTATTTTGGTGGTTTTGGAAGTACAGGGTCCACCCTACCAGTTATAGCCACAATAGTGTACCCACCACCAATTTACCCATTGGCTAGTGCATAGTGCATAGTGCATTGTGCTTCTTTTCCTCCTTATTCCCACATCTCCTGGGCCCTTTTTTCCTTCTGGATACTTCAGGTGTGTAGTCAGCTTTCGCGGGTCTTTTAAGTTTATCTTTAACCCTTAGTTTGATTTCTCTATATTCCACATATAAGTGACACCATCTGGTATTTATCTCTCTCCTTATGACTTATTTCACTTCCAGCTTCATCCATATTGCTGCAAATGGCTTCAGCGTATCTTTTTTGATCGCTGAGTAATATTTCATAATATATATATAGAAAGAAAGGTAGATGATTGATAGATAGGACAGGCAGACAGATGGGTAGATATCACATCTTCTTGATCCATTCATCTATTTTCGGATACTTAGCTTGTTTCTATAGTTTGGTTATTATAAATACTGCTGAAATAAACATGGGAGAGCAAGTTTTCTTTCAAATTAGTATTTCTGAACTTTTCACATAGATACCTAGGAGTGGAAACACTGGGTCATATGGCAGATAAACTTTTAATCTGAGACTGTTCCATACTGCTTTCCATGGGGGCTATTTAGTGGAACGCACTGTTAACAGAAATAGAGAATCCGTTCTGCCTTCAGGGACCTTAAGTTGCATTTAGGAAAGACCAGAGTGTAAACACACGAGTCAACAAGGAAAATAGTATGTTTTGTTCACAATGTTACAAAACAAAAATGGAGCACTTACCCAGATGAGAGACAAAATCATGTAAAACTCAGAGTAGTAAATTTTTTTCTAGGATCATAGACCAATATATCCATCATTTCCCCCTTATAATCAATCAACTAAAACTTTATTAAAGAGTTGTCTATCATAGTTTAATAGAACATACAATTGTATTAGAGATGATTCTAATTTTCAATTTTCTAGATGATTCTAATTTTCAATTCATTCCATAAACTTTTGGGTTTTGCTTTCTGTTGTATTTTGAACCAAAAATGGATCATGAAAACTTTATATGCAATCCAAATTTATTCTTGCCCTTTGCGGCATAGTAATCTTAAGAATGTTCATTACAAGATAGGAAATACAACTGCCATTCTTTTAGAAAAATGTCATGAATGATGATTTATCTTATATTTCTAAGCATCAGGTATTCTAAAAAATTCAAGTCTAGTTAATTTGATTGTCCATAAATGTTCCAGGCACAATACAATTCTATTGTTTGCATTATAATCACTGCTATTAATGCATAATTACATACTAGCATAAACATCTGCCTAACTCATTTTTAAAAACCTTATCGCTATAAGAAATAATTCAGGTGAAGGATGATGATCTTTAATAATATTAGCAAGCCTAGATTCAAACTATAGCTTGGAATTGTCTAAAACTAATCGAAAGGGGCTGTATTGTTCATGCTCTTGAGATAAAACAAACTGACTCAACTTCTGAGGGCTTCTAAATATTTGGGGGAGAAAATCTAATATGAGAAAACACAATGGAATGAAGAAGTTGATACGTACAGATTTCTGAGGTTAAACTGGTGATGTGATCACCAAATCAGCTGAGTAAATTTTGTCAGAATGATGCAGTTCAGAAAGATGAGACTATGATATAGGTATCCAATTGTGGTTTTGGGGCCTCCCCTTGTGGCGCAGTGGTTGAGCGCTGGGCTGTGCTGCCTGCAGCCTCTGCAGCGCAGGTTCATTCCCCGGCCGCCAGCGAGAGTCCCACAAAAAAAAAAAAAATTGTGGTTTTTGTCACCTCCTGAGTTCTGGCCCTCAACTGCATCAGGTAAAAAACAAGGTATTCAGATTATAACCGATATCAAACTCTACAAAATTTGAGATTCTCTGAATCTCATCAATTCTCTGAATTTGTTTTCTTAAATTCTGCATTTTTTGGTCATGTGAGAAATTCAATGTTTTCAAAGTTATCAAAAATTGTAGTCTAGGACTTCATATGGCTTCAAAATACCATTAACTATTTTCTAAATCAGAATGGGCTGTGTTTTCCCCAGTTTAAGATAGTTGATCATAACAATGCCACATATCTCAACTAATACACTGCTTTGGGAAAACACCAAAGATTTTCTGAATTACTCCTTTAGGGGATAATAAAATCTATTCAACTTCTTCTAGTAAAAAGCAAATGTATAAATGGAAGAGATACTTGCATAAAACATCAAAATATTGAAAGACTGTGGGTCTGCTAGACTTAAACAGCCTGGTTGGCCACCATTTTAGTTACATGCAGTTCTGAATTCCAATACAAGGTCAGAACAACCCAGTTCAATCACTTTTATGACCTAAAATAATATAGGATACCATACCCTACAAGGATCCTTTCATGTTAAACAAGAACAGATGTTTGATCCTCCTGGGACAAGGGTATACATCACAAGGTATGACTGGGAATGCCCAGGGAGATGTTGACTAATGTATGACCAGTGTTTCAGAGAATGATCAGTGGAATGCCTTGTTGATAAAATTGGGACCATGGGTGAGGGTCTGGGGTATGGTTTCAATTACAATACCAGCAGATGTTGTATCAAGCAGATAAAGATACCTGGGGAACAGACTCACTACCCCTGAAGCCCTAGATGATAACACATTTTCAATTTCATCCATCCTTTTTTCTCTTTTTTCTCCTACCCCACTTAATTGATGCTATAAAAAGGTCAGAATCTTACTCTTTCAGCAACATCCTGCATTGTAGCTTGCTCCACAACTCCTATTTGTCAGTGCGGTGCTGTCAACACAACAAAAGACCAACTGGTTCAAAGTCTACCAGACATCATGTAAACCATTGTGTAGACGACTTTGATAATACAAGAAAATATAAGGCAGAGTGGTGACTCTGAAGGAGCATTCAGCCTGTTGGGAAATAGAAAAACTATAATATAGTATAGCAAGTGCAAGCACAGGTAACACCACTAGTGGCCTAATCAATGTGAAGTTTTTCAGACTTCACCTATGCATGACAACAACAGGAGTTACACTGTTCACTAAATATTTATTGACATCTCAGCATTGCATTAGCACTGGAAGACACAAGAAACAAAAGAAGCATTTCTTCCCTTATGGAATTCAATCTTGCAGTTATAATCTACCTGTATAAAATCAGTACTTTAAAAAAGGAGTCGTTGTGATGCTTTATAAGTAAGTGCTGATTAACCAATTACACATAGCCCTGCTCCACCTCACTCCTGTCTACACACTGACGTCAATGACTACTGAACAGCTGTATAATGTTCTGATGAATGATTCTTAGTGAAAATTATCCAGACACACCCACTGATGGCCCCATAAGTACAGAAAAAGTACAAGGTTTTATTTGAGGAAAGGCAACACACAATTTTTAAAGAATTTCACTTTTTTTTTTTTAAAAGAATTTCACTTAATCTTGGCATTTCAAACTGATGCAAGGCTGGATGTTTGGATGAAAAATTATAAATCATAACATTTCAGCATAAATTTTTAGTTTTTCAGTGAATGTATTTCTAAGTACCAGCTATCTATTAAATTGACATTTTATAGCAATGGTACTTTCCAACTTCCAAATTAAAAGAATTCCAAGGAACTAAATGCTTTTGGTGTAAAGCAAGTCAAGAAAAAACAAATTTATTTCACAAGGCCTAAAGCCATAAATTGCTATAAAATATAAATACATGGGTAGTCATATAACTTTTTCTAAATAATTTTATAAATGTTTGCACTTACAGCAAAAGAAAATTTCAGACAATCATGGTTCCCTCAGGAAAGCCAATAATCACATCAGCCCACATCTCCCTGAACCCAGTGTTATTTCACTAATTGAGCCCATGGAGAGAGATTTACATCTCAGATTTTGAAGTGTTGTTGATTATGAAGAGTATTTATAAGGAAGTTGACCAATTAAGAACCTTACAAGGTTTTCAATATTTGTCTAATCATTAGTTAGAATTTTTTTAATGGCGCTCAATATTATCTGTCTAATAAAAAGAGGAACATCTAGAAATGGTTACACCTGTGAGCTGTTCCAAAAGTATATGATATTGACTTCCAGGACTATTAAGAAAATATAATCCTCTACATTTCTAGCACAAATTTTTAAATATTGAAGCATGGCCCTCATTTTATTCTGTCAACATTTGGAAAGAAAAGCATTTGAGTAAATGGATGAGAAATACTTGGGGATCAGTATGTTTGTGATATAGAAATACAGCACTCTTTTGAACAATGCTGATAATAAGTCAAAGAGTGGCAGTAGATTCAGCAAAGGAGATAAGTTTGTGAGTGGAATGAGCAATGAAACCACACCAGAGAGCACTATGGCAGTCTGTGAGCTTGTGGCAGTTTTTGCATAACTCATTATTATTTCCCTGCCCAGGTTGTCACTTCCTCTCCTTTTATGAGAAAGGTAAGAATGCATAACTAAATTACCATAAGATGTTTTGTCACAAAAGCCACAACAACGAGATACCTATCTATCCTAAATTTCCTTTTCTCCATATCTACAAATACAACTATGTGGATGGTTTCAGTACACTGTATTAAATGAAATTACCAAGTCCTCAACAAAATCTAAAATCTATTTCATGTACTTCAAGAAGGCAATAAAAAATGTGGATATATTTCTATAAAAAAATCAATGTGCCAAAATGTTATTACCTAGAGGATCAACTTTCAGGTTTATGGAAATATCAAATATACAGTTATTCATTTTTTGGGGGAGTTCCAAATAGGTTAGGTGCTCATTATATTTTTGAGAAATAAAAGCTAAGGGAACATTCTCTAATTTTTATGAAAAGAAAAAAAGATTAATGTAAATCTGTGTCTATTTGGTCAGGTCTGTTTAGTCTTTTAGGTTGAAATGAAGCATATAGCACTTCTGTTCTAGAATGAGTTTAATTTGTGTCTTTTGTCTGGTGCTAGCAACATTACTGGTATGCCCCCCTTCATATGCCCTTGACCTTCACCTCTACATTGTGAAGGTGGTTACTATGCATTCCTGAAGCTCTCTGCCTCAGGGCTTCTCTCTGGTCACAGGGAGGCACTCAGCCTGCATGCAGAACAAGTCAAATAGTCAAGTTCCACAGAAGCAACTCTCAACAAATGGTGGGTGAGTTGACAGATATAAATCTATCAGCCTTGCTCTTCAATGTGATTGCCTTGTGGTATTGTTATAGGACAGGGAGAGGGTCAGCCCAAACCCCACAAACCTGCCTATTCTAAAAGGGTTCTGCCATCCGCCGCATCAACACAAAACATAGGAGACTTTAATGGGAAGGAACTTTAATAAAACTAGGAAACAATACAGGTAAGGCAAAGAGTCTAGTTTCTAGATGAAGCACCCAAAGTTACCCATCCCCTCGTGGGTAAAAGTCCATCCATATGGGAATGGCGCAGAGCAAAGCCCCAAAGCCTGCTAAAAGTCCAAAGCATCTTCCAGTGGGGACCCACAGAGAAGGGTCACAAACAACCGGACAAGTCCGGAAGGAAAAGAGCAAAATCAACATCAAGATAAAAGCTGCCATTGTCACCTCCCCATGGGTCTCACCCACATCTGTGTCACCCAGTCCACGACCAAAAGACAAGCGCAGTTTCTTTACGTATCTCTAGGCTCCATGCGCCTCCTCCAGGTCTCCTGGCTCCGTCCTGCTTCCTTCCTTCCTCAGTCTCTTCTGCAGCTTCTCCTCTTCCTGCTCAGCTCCACCCTCCCTTGGGTGGGGCAGGGAACCTCCCCCTTTCCTGGGACCACCCTGTTACAGTATGTTCCACTCTACTTCCCAGAGTTCCTCTTCAAGACTGAGCCCTTTGGAATCGCTGGTGAGTGAGTTTAGTAACATCATTTAGCATCTTTTTTCCCTTCTTTTTTTCTCATTTCCCCACTTGTGTTTCCTAGTATTACTTCCCAAATGAACTATTCTGTACATAAATCCTCACCTCCAGTTTACTTTGAAACAACCTAATCCTAAACATATGGGCAGAATTTATACTTTCGTTGTAAACTGGTATTTAAGTGTGGACCATAGTTCACATATAAATAAAAACATGTTAAGCTCTGAGAGGCTTTTCATTAGTCCATATGTTTGGCACTTAGAAGTTACACTAGGACTTCTCTTCTTGCCATGAGGGATCAACAACCAAAAGATTTACCTTACTGTTATTGCAAAAAAAAAAAATGTGTGTGTGTGTGAAAATAAGTGTTTTCTAACATTGGAAATGAGAGGAAGACTGTGATCCATAAGATAAGAAAAATAAAGGAGTGATTTCTATACTTTTTCCAATAATTGCCAATAGGCAGCTGTAAAATCATAGAGGAGGAGAAACCTAGGAAACTCAGCCTTCTCACAGTCTCAGCACGGAGAAGACAAGAAGAGCTTCAGGAGGAGCTGAGGCAGCTAGAATACATGCAACAGAGTACCAGAAAGGAAAAAGCTGCAGAGAGTTAATGACATCTAAGACCCCTGAAGTTTAGGCCAAGTATGGTCAGAATACACCTGGGTTCACATCCTGTAATGCTTCTCAAGATTGTTTTGACTATTCAGGGTTATTTGTGGTTCCATACAAACTTTAGGATTGTTTCTTCTATTTCTGTAAATAATGCCTTTGGAATTTTAATAAGGATTCTACTTAACCCTTAGATTATTTTAGAGAGTATGAATATTTTAACAATATTAATCCTTCCAGTTTCATGATCATAGAATATCTTTCCATTTCTTTGTGTCTTCTTGAATTTCTTTTATCAGTGTTGCACAGCTTTCAGTGTATAGGTCTTTCATCCTTTAGTTAAATTTATTCCTAGATAATTTTTCTTCAAATGCAATGATAAATGGGATTATTTTCTTAATTTCTTGGATAGTTTGTTATTAGCACAGAGAAATGCAAAAGAGTTTTTTGTTTGATTTTGTATCCTATACATTTACTGAATTTGTTTATTCTAACAGGTTTTTTTTTGTAATGTCTCTAGGGTTTTCTATGTATAGTATTATATCCTCTACAAATAAGGACAGTTTTACTTCTTTTCCAATTTGGACTCCCTTCTTTTCCTTCTCTAATTACTCTGACTAGGATTTCTAATATTAAGTTAAATAAATGTGGTGAGAGTGATCATCTTTATATTGTTCCTGATCTTAGAGGAAAAGTGTTCAACTTTTCACCACTGATTGTAATAGTAACTGTAGGTTTGTCATGCATGGCTCTTATTACATTCCCTTATACCCATTGGATGACGGTTTAAGATTCATTTCGTGTATTATTGAATTCTGTTTGTTAGTATTTTGTTGAGGATTTTTGTCTCTATGTCCCTCAGGGGTATTTATAGTTTCTTTTCTTGTGGTATCCTTGTCTGTACATCTTGATATTCATGCTTCTTTGTAAGTTTGGTGAAATTCGGCAATAAAGCTGTCTGGTCCTAGACTTTTTTTTCTTGGGGAGATGGCATCTCCCAGCCCGAGAACATCTCTGTGGTCCTCAAGACGTATGCCAAACCTGAAGTCTGCCCCTCACCCAAAGTGTAAGAACAAGGAAATAGGTCTCTTTCACAGAAAGTAAGGAAGTATAGTATGCTTCATCTTCTCTCTGTGCAATGCCTTGGAGATAGCCTGCCCCCAGTCTCCCCACCACCATCTCAAAATTCAAGAAGCATCCCCTGGTGGCAGCAACAAAAACCAGGGCACAAGATTTAAAACTGGGGCACCAGACAAATATAATATAAATCCAAGAGAGGCTGATACTCTGGAGTGTGGCAGAGGGAGAGCACAAAAGATAGTATTCTCCAAGGTTTCTGGAAAAGTTTATAGTTAGCACTTAGACATGTATTTAATTGGAAATCTCCTCAGGATAGTTATGATGATAATCTAATAGGTCTCTTTCACAAAAATATGAAGCTC